AGTGAAGCTCCCTTCGGTGCACTCGGTGGTAAACAATTACTTGATAAAATATTTATTCCGAAAGACAAAAGACCGGAGGAGAATGAACAACTATTTGAGGATGTGAAAACTAGTTTCAACAAAATTCACTGTTTTTTAATGCCTCATCCCGGTTCCGGTATCGAAGAAAGCGATTTTCGTGGTTGTCTAAAAGATTTGCGTAAAGAATTCAAGGAACATTTACGCGAATTCATTCCCTTAATTTTAGCACCGGAAAATTTAATTATCAAAGAAATAAACGGAGAGAAACTAAAAGTCGATCATCTTCTGACCTACATTCGGTCTTATTTTGAATCATTCAACAGTAAGGAGTTCCCAGAGCCTACAACAATTTTTATGGTACATATTTATTAGTATTTTATAGAGAGATGCCGAAAAATTGTAAACTATTTGCACGTACATTTTCTTTTGAAGGCTACTGCAGAGGCAAATAATCAAATCCATGCTACAAACGCCGAAGAATTATATGAGAACAAAATGATGGAATTAACCAGTCCCGAAAAACCATATATTCCGGAAGAAGAACTAAAGAGACAGCATGAGGAATTGGAAAAGCAAACTATTTCATGTTTTACAGAAAAACCATTAATGGGCGGAAGACATTTTTTTACGAAATATTGCCAAAACATTAAAAACTATACCTCGTCGAGATTTGCACAATTCCGTGAGCTCAACAAAGCTAAATTGGTAAAATTCTATCACAATTCGTTAATACAAATAATATAAGCTATTATTATTGCTTCTTAGGCTTATACCGAAGCCAACTATTTAAACTATATGAATAAATGCATTATAGAATTTGAGAAGCGTATGGATACATTGCTTATCGGGAATGCATATACACCTTCAAATGAGTTTAACAGCAATATGGAAGATGTAAAAGTGGATATACTAAAACAGGTACAAGGGTGTATAAAATGAGTTAACATTTTATAGATTTTTCTCAATATGGTTTTGCAGTTTGATTCATGTCTATCGRACAGTACAGCGGTAATACATGAACAGATTCGTAAGCAGCTTCAGGAGGCTATTGAAAAACAATTCATCAAATACACGCAACAAAATGATATAAAACTGGTAGGTAGCACAAGAACAAAATTAATAAAACAGCGTGTTTTTTTTATATTAAATTTACAGGTTATATCCACTTGCAAGTAAACATGGGCTTTTTTCGTGAAAGATAAGTCCAAATTTTAATTTTTAATGTATTATTGATTAAAGATAACACTTACTTTAGCATACATGTAACGTTGACATCCAAAATAAAGATTTTCCATTTGCATAGACTACGCGATTTTTTTCATATTTTATTTTTAACTTTGAAAATGAAAACTTTGATCTGGCGGTGAGAAAGTTTTTTCTGCGTAAAATTACCTCAAATTCCAAAACAAAACATTATTATTATTACAACACAACAATACAAGTATTGGTCGGATCAGTCATAATTTTGAGCTTTGACAAAATGCGGGCTCCTCAAAAGAAAAAGTCGTGTTTTACGACAAAATTTATACTTTAAAGTGACTTTTAACATCGCAATTGTTATCAAAAATATTTTTACTTCCATCATTACCCATCAAATATATCTATGAGGTGGTATGAAAATTTTAAGTCGATCGGAAACTATTGCCTTATCAACTTTT